AATTTTCTCGAGAATCTTCTTTCTACAAGGTGTTCCGAAAGACGAGGGATCGATGTTCTTTTGGAGATAGTAAAACCACGGTGGAAACGATTTTCGCAAATGTTTTTGTAACAGTTTGTTAAAAACGAAACTAGAGGATATTTATTGAAAAATAAATATCTGCAACAAAAAAAGCAGTACGTTATATCAGTAACACGTTTCGGAGAAGAACACAAATTATTTACTTTCGGTTTTCGATACTCTGTAATGTACACACGAGAGATTACATTACGTCAGTGCGTTTATTGCGCACATACAGCTGAGCGCTTTTGATGTGTGCGAGCAATTTTATTCTTTGAACAACGAATATAAACTACTCGCTTTTTATTCGATATATTCCAGCTAGTGCACGCAACGTGCCTGTTATATTCAATAAAAAGCGATATAAATAAACAGAACGTTACAAGCGAGTAATATTCTAATTTTCATCGTCGATTGTAAGTCATTTAAAAGGTCGTTTCACATGGCATGTACATGGTTGCCTTTTAATAAATTTTGGAGCACAGGTGTGTTGTGCGAACCGCCATTTTTACTAGATCAAAGAATACGACGAGCACATGCGCAAACAAATGCCTTTGTGTATTATATACTTAGCAAGTTCAAGTTGAGTGAAAAAAATAAAGTCAAATTAAAGTTTGAGGAGATTAAAAAGTCAAATGATATAAAAAGCTTGAAAATAAATTTGAAAAAAAAATTTAATTCTAATTGACAAGAAAAATTTACTTGACCTTCCAAGAAATTTTCTCATTCTTTGTTGTAGGTGGAAATCAACGTGAACTAGCACGCGCGAAAAACTTGAAAAAAACCGTAAAGAAGGCAGCTTCCGAACAAGAAAGTAACAAAGGTCTCTCCTTGGAACAACGTAAAGCACGGTGCGCTTTTTGATATTTTCTTTTATCGCAACGGGACAAGAATCGAAAAGCTTAGATTATCGTGATTGGAAATCGATTCCGAACAATCGCGCGATAGTTGACACAGATCCGCATTGTTATATCACCAATCGAAAAAGTATCTCTTTTCTCTTTGCAGCGATGCCGAACGAATGAGAGAAAAACAACAGAAGAAACAGGAAGAAAAACAAGCCGACAAGTCCAAGCAAGCGGCGAGGTAAAATTCAACGCGAGAAGACTGTAAAAAATTTTTACAAATAAAGAAAACGGTTGTATAACAGCACCATGCCTACGTTTAAGAAATTCACGATTGCGAGAAGCACACAGGCTTACATTTGGGAACGCAAAAACAACTCGGCATGTTTTCATTGTTAGAGAACTTTTCCATTCAGTCAAACTGTAAGCAGGTATGCCCGTTTCTATGACGTACCGTATGATCTAGCCTTGATATTACATCTCGTTATTTACGTAATGCTTATAAAAAACAGTTGTAGTCAGTGTATAAAAGAAAAATCTCGAACGTGTGTTACTCACCCTCTCCCCTCTCCTCTCCTTCCTATACACAGTAAAATCACTCAGTGAGAATGCGCTGTTTTTTCTCTAGATATAAGGATAATTAATTAAAATAATACGATAATTGTAGTATATATAATTTCTAATCTGTGTAAAAAAATATTCAGACTTTCACTTATTTAATGTTATGTAATGTATTACATGTGTAAGTGAGCGAGCGATTATTAGACTCTACACACACACACACACATGTATTACCGTCGTCGTTCCTTTTCGCTCGTAATAAATTATTCAAATTTTAACATGTGATGCAAATTCTCTTGTCCCATTTTTATTTTTTTATTTTTTTTGGCAAAATACAAATTAAATGTTTATGCGCGACAATGTGCCGCCTCCCCCCCAAAAAAGGATAAGAAAACGTGGTACCTTTCACAATTGTTTCTCAATTTTTTTATTGCACTTTCCCAAAAAGAGTACATTTTCTTAACATATTAATTTTTTTTTAATATCGCGATATTTCATAACTTCGCTCGTAATTACAAATAATTGATTGATTGATTAACATTAAATCCAATGAGGAATGTAGGGTGTATGATTCCATAAATGTGTGTCACTGCGGTGGAAGACCGACCCTTTTATTAATATATCGCTAACCGGGGAGAGGGGAAAGGAGAGAAAAATATACACTATGCTAAACGTACGACGAACGTATTTGTTTATAAAGCCTCTAAGGACCAAAAACCCTCGTGAGATTTGGTTACACTCACTGCAATCGGAAACGAAATTCTCTCTCAAGTTTCAATTATCGGGGTCATTAAATGGATTTGCTAGGCTTGTATCTTTTCGCATTCTACCTCGTCTATAAGCAGGAACCAGCGCCGCTCGTTTACTCGCGTTTTGTCTTTTTTTCTTTCTTTTGTTTGGCTTCGAGTTTTTTTTTTAATTAATATGCACAAGGAACAACGCGTACATTTGAGCATTTACTTAATTTATACTACTAGTACGTGGTAGTTCATTGTAAAACTTGTTACATGCGATAGTTCAATGATGATTGCGTGATATCCGTTTGAAATCTGTCTTTTCAATTGTGTATATTGTTCAGCTATTGCACAAAGCTAACACGTGCTGGCACGGGTATATATATATATATAAACAAATGGACTGAGTAAATTTGCAGAATTTTCTTTGTCCGTACAATTACTTTTACACAGTCCGATTTGTGCCGTGCTTTTTGTTAATTGGAACAACAAAGTTTGTTTCACGTCAAAAGTTAAACAATTCTCTTGATTGATTTTTCACTTAATTCAATTTCGCTAAGTTACTATTATTCCGTAAGAAAAACACTCGTAGGTTTTTATTATGAGAATTCAATTATTCCTTTGCATATATAAATCTGAACTATTTGCTGTAAACTCGCGCCACGCGCGTTAATTAAAAATCTTACATATATCTTTCTAAAAATGGGCGGCTGAATGCTGTTTTTTTTTTGTTTTTTTTTTGTTTCTTTTTTCGCTTGTCTTCCTGTCAATTAGTCTTTACAAATTCCGTATACGTACAATTTTCATATATAATAATATATTATCGTAATCACAATGCGTTTTTATTTAATAATATAAATATTTACTTATACGTGTCTATTTCGATGATGCAACATTTGTTTTTTGTTCGCACGTGGAAAAATTGATTAACACACCTAATGCGATATTTTTCAGAAACACAGAGTGAAAAAAATTCTAAAGAGAAAGATTTCATGCTTGACATATTTGCGTTAAAAGTCGAGTGAATCTTATCTATCGGTGTGTGTCTGTATGTGTGTGAAAATGTGTGTTGTTACCTTATTATTACAACACTCTATTTGTAACAGTAGCACCATATTTGTATTGTTCGTGACGTAATGCAGATTTATGTGATACGTGTTGCGTCATACGCAGAATTTGTTTCTGAGACGAATAATAGCGTAACTATTTGCATCTTAAAATGTCATTTTCTATTTTTTAGTATGTGTTCACCAGATTTGAAAAGATATCCGAACTGTCTCTCTCTTATTAGTTTTTTTTTTTTTTTATAATTATAGAAAGTATTTTTTTAATATATTTATCTAAACCACACATTTTTACACAAGCAGCGCAACAATTAAAAAAAAAATTTGATATATGTCACGAAATAAAAAGGAAAATCGAAAATTTAAAAAAATTACTTAATAAGTAATTTAAAGATTACTCAATTATGCAAATCAACTTAATTTAAATTAAGCTGTATTTAAAGTCAGACTTTCTAATATCTTTGAGAATTACGAAGTGTATATGTATAGTATATATATATATATATATAGTTATCTCGAAAAGAGTTTATACAACGTGAAAATTTTCCTCCCAACTGTTTGTGTGTTTGCAGAACACGTCTTGATGACAGTTGTTTTTTCTTCTGCCACATGTATGAATTTTTCGCAAATATACGTCGTCTTTTGGATTATCGTTTATCGAAATAAATAACTACTATAATATGCAGTACTTGGAAAAATCTACGTTGAAAAATCTCGTCACGCGAATGAATGCGGCAAAGAGTCGTTCGCGTGTCATCAATCTATCGTATGTTTGTCAATGAATATGTCGGGCGCGTACTAATATCCGGAAATAATGACAAGAATACGAGACGGGATGATATTATCTTCCTCGTTTTTTCCATCTCTAATTACACGGAAGGTACACGATATATTTGCGACGGATCGAGTGAAGTTTAAAACACAAATCGCTTTTTATTGTTTCGGGACGACAATGCGCGCGTTCTCTCTTTGAAATCTCAACGAAAAAATCCCACTCGTTCTCTTCCTCCCCTTGTAACATTTGTACAAAATTATTTCCGCGCAACTTTTCAGTATCTCTTCGATGAGAGGATATAAAAAAAAAAAAAGAGAATTATCGCAAACGAGATAATGCGAAATTTATCTCGATCGGAACAAGTGAGGACGAGAGACGGAATTGATCTGCAAGTAAATCCTGTAAATCCGTTCGTTATATATGAACAGCGAAATTGAAAGACGAAAACCTATCGATCTCTCTCTCTCTCTCTCTCTTTCTCTCTCTGTGCGCTCGTTAAAAGCCCAGGTTCTATCAAGTTTTTCCAATTTCTCATGAAGCAGAGAAAGATAAAAATTTCAAAGCAAACGTGGTCTCGAAGAGGGACAGATTTCTAGGAAAAAAAAAATTAAGTTACTCGCCTTTCGCGCGAATCACCGCTTCTCCGGATGGGAAGCACGAAGGAAAGAAACAGACGATACGATTATCCACCAGGTCGCGCGCACTTGTGGAATTTTTCCGAGAGAAACAACTGGGAAGTGGAAAAAAAAAGAAATGGTAAAAGAGCTCTTGCGCTACACGACACGCTGTGTCGGACGCGATTCTACCTCACACAGTAGGTCTTAAAGATTCCTAAAGATTCAGAGAGCATATCGTACAGGTCTGGGCGACGCAATGCGAATGCAGATGTTGGTGCGACGTGTGCGACGGCGGAGGCGGCGGTGGCGGCGGCGGCGGAGGCGGCGGAGGTGGTGGCGGCATGTAGAGCCAGCCGGCGCCCGTCGCTGGCCAGACCGCAGATGAGGCTGTCGATGTCGGAAGCAGCGAATTTGTGCCGCCTCCGGCGCTAACGTGCGACGTTGGTCCACTTTCTACTCACATCACCTGAAAAGAAGCCGCGATTGAAATTTCCTCATCTCTCTCTCTCTCTCTCTCTATCTCTCTGTAAAGGTTCTCGAAGAAATTGCACGTCTGTTTTTCTCTTCCAAATGTGTAATCGCAAACGTACACTCTGCGTTCTAGAACTCATGTTTTTTTTTCTCAATATGTTTTTTAATATATCGAATATACCACATGTGTGTGTAACGTAACTGTAAAAAAAAAAAAAAAAAAAACGGTGTGATTAACAGAGTCTCGTAATGAATAAATGACACGCGCGATGTATGTCATGCGCGCGATTCGTGTTTTGCTGTTTGTGCTCTATGCAAAGTCAATAAAGCGTTACGTCGGTGTGTCATCAAAGATGTTTTGCAAGAGAACAATTTTACGACTTGAATAGAAATTACAACATAACAATGAGATATTTGTATAAAGCGCAAATAAAATATTGAATTAAAAAATAATTGGAAAAAAAAATTAAGACCGAATGTTCGGGGTAAACGGATTATAATTTATTAATTATATTAGTAAACAAAACGTATACAAAAATACACAAGTATATGTTTATGTATTTCGATATTTCGCGCGTGAGTTTAACATTTGCTTTATGGAAATGTGAGCGCCAGCTGCAACGCAAGAAGCGTCCGTTACGTTTCGAAACGCGGTGCGGAAAAAAAAGCTTTCAGATAATTCGGCCGGCAACGTTAGTTTGCCGCCTGTTTTCGTGTATACATCGTATAGCGTGTAGCCTCGATAGTGGGAGAGTAGTTTTGCAAGCCGAGTGTAATTAACAGCCAATAACGTAAGATTTCAGGCAAGAGTTCGTCGACTCGAATTACGCTGAGAGCTCTGGTTTCGTCGTGTAATTAATCGCCAGCGCGCTTAACGTGTACAGTTAAAGGGCGTTTGTGCAGTCGATAAATTCCACTGTCTGGATATCGAGTGTAGTGTCGGGTATGACTTTCGTACATTCGGTCTACACCGTTGAGTTTGATATTCACCGAAGCCGCGAGGTAATATCGAATTCTGAATTTCTACACATTGACGCGAGCACACACACACACACACACATTCTCTCTTGTAGCAATATCCAGTTACACAATCACAATTTCACACTGTGGATCGCGAAATTCCATGCTTGTTACGCCGAACGAATAAAACTACAATTCGTTTATGTGCAATGTTTCATTTTGTTTTTTAATACTTTTCGCATTTTTGCACTTGCAACGCGACGAGACGAATCGCGTTCCCGTCGATGTTTTTCGTTATAACGCGATAATATCTTTTTCTCGCATTCTTATTCTAAAACGATACCTGCAATATCTGGCTAGCTTCGAAGGCCGTTCCTGGCAAGAGTATCACCGGACTACTGACGTGTCCGCTCTCGACGCAAATCATGTTCGGAAACTCGTCGTCGCCGAAGTCCGGGATGTCGCGCGCCTTCTCCTGCCAGGGATTCCACACGACGGTGTCGGGAAAATTGTACTTCTGCACGCGCATCTTTCTGCCGGAAACGACGTTCGTGATGATGTGCTCCGGCTGCGTGTTCTGGTAGATCCGGTCGGTCCACTCGCACACCGTGACGACGTCGCGGCCTTCTTGGAAGATTTGGTTGTCTCTAGTCTGTGCGAGGAAAACGAGAAGTCAGATTGAAACGAGTTTCGCGATGTAATTATTTCAACGTTACGCGCGATACAACTTCGCACACGCACTTTACACGTGAGTAACGTATGCGTTTCATTTATTTCGCACTTATATTTCGGACGATCTTTGACGTGTCTCTTCTCGAGATTAGATTCTTTCCTTAATGATAAAGAAAGTTGAATTCTTTTGTAAGAAGAGCTTGCAGCGAACGTTAATCACCGGGAACGGGAATTACCGGTTTGAATTTGCAAGAGTGAAGAGAATTGAACATCTCTCTCTACTCGCGCTACCTTGTCGACAAAAGTGCATCCGTGCAGTCCTGTGATTTGGCATCTCCTGACGTCCGGCACCTTGAAGTAAGTATGTAAGAGAAGATTAAAGCTGAACGTGTCTTCTCTGCTCGGGTTGTACACGCCGATGTTGAAATGCAGCTCCTTCTCGCGCAGTATTAGCCTGTACGTTAACCTAAACTGTGAGTTCCACAGGGACCGCGTGAATTCGCTGTCCATTATCGAGAATATTGCCTCGATGTCACCGCTCGGCAGTCGTTCCGGCGATTTCTCCACGTTCCAGCGAATGATTCTCGCGAAGCCGTGAGGTGGTCCGAACGTCGACGCTCCGAATTGTGCTGTCGAAAAACACATCGCGTGTACACATCGAATCGTTTCTTAAATAAGTTTTATCGCAGTTTCAAACGGAGCCTCAGAATGTCGGAAAAATTTAATATGAAATTAAAAATACTAATGCGAAAAAATTTTCAAAACGGCTTGAAATGTTGAAGAGTGTGTGTGTTTTTTTAACAAATTCAATCCCTTTGCCGGGTGTTTTCTCTAATTAGGCTTTTTACATTTCGACGGTGTATTTTTCGAAATTCGGTAATAAATATGCTACGTGCAAACCGCGTCTCGTTCGTTATACTCACGAAAAACGAATGGTATGCCGCCTCTAATGGCCTTCTTTCCATCGAACACGGCGTTCTTGCTGAAACACAAAGCGGTTCGCAGGTTGAAACACAAACGAAACTTTGGTGTTGATATTTGCGTATTGCAGAACAAAAAAAAAAAAAAAAACACTGGTCGGTTTTATGATATTCGATTTTTGTAATTTCTCGCACAATATTTCTCGTTATTTCGGCCCGGTATTTTTCATGAAAAATCCCGAAGAAAACACACAAAACGCTTTTTCTCCCCCTCCGCGCGTTGTTATTGCAAATTGCATATACGCATCGGATGTCAGATTAATGAAACCGCATATATGAACAGCACGTAAACAACAAACATATTTGTTAGACCAACCCTATTTATATACATCGGCGTTGCGCGAGCAACAACAATAAACGAAACAAACGATACAATGTTTCGCCAATTTTTGGCGGTTCTGAAAGTGAAGATTGCGTTTAGTTAAAATTCTTTACCGTAGAGGGTGTTTCTTTCTCGTCCCATTCGGTAATTTATTAAAAGCTTCATCTCACGGTCTGTCGTTACATTAAAATATTACATCAGTAGTTTTTATACGCAGGTACGTATGTAATTTTTAGATGCTTGCGAGGAGAGAAACTCGAGCGGCAACGCTCTCTCGAGTCTCATCCTACAAAGGGGATGAAACAACTGTAATAAGACAAGAAAAGAATTCCTCCTAGTAACAAGCAGTCGAGCGGTTTTAGTACACATTTCTTAATTAGCTCGGTGCGCAATTAACATTCGCGATCGCGCGTTCATTTGTTTTTTCTCCTCGACGTCTTCAAAAACTTCGAAATTTTAGCGTCCGGGCTAGACGCTGTTTTCTTTTTGTTTCGAGTAAAAAGACGCTGTTGTCTCAAAAAATGAGTAATCTTTTCGAAATGTTCGAAGCGGTGTATAAAAGCCGTTTCTAAAGATCGTCGAACAAGTTGGAGAAAACTCGTTGATCCCTTTCGTAAACGAAACTAAGACGCTCGAAACGGTTGATATCGCCGCGAAAGAGAAACGGAGACTTGCCGACGCGTGAGTCTGAAGAGAGGAAGAAAGAGAAAGAGAGAAAGAGAGAGAGAAGAAGAAGAGAAAGACGGAGAACTATAAAGCCAGAGGGCGGATGCAGGATGACCATTAGTCAAGCCTGTCAGGGGCCGCGGAGATGTTCTTAAGAAGGAGCTTGAGGATACACTCGGGATCCAAGGCTGCGCGAGGAGAACGCGCGAAATCGAGATGTATCGGCGTTGAACCAAGCACTGGAGCTGCGTAATCCTCGATTTAGGCGATTAAAACGTTCCCCGACATTGCCGCTAAATTGCTATTTTAAAATCTGTCTCTCGTGAGATATTTTATATTTTTTACAATCAATTTTCAACTCTCTCTAAATTTTATTGTTTTCAAAAAAAATGTCCAACAATACTCGATTGTTGCAATATCGCGCGAGCAAATAAAACTTCCATCGGCGTTGACAAAGTTAATGACTTGAAATTTCGATCCGCGAACTGTATCCAATTGCCGTATTCCCCCGTAGCGCGATGTAATCCATTTTCCTGGATGCGTAAACCGCGAAGGAGGAGAAGGTAATCCCATCCGTTTGCGCGCGATCCCGAGGCGGATGGAACACGCGCGAACAGAGACGGAGAGACGGACAGATAGATGGATCGCGACAAACCCGAACGTCACAGCGAGAGGAGAAAGACGCAGAGAGAAAGAGAGAGATAGAGAGAGAGAGTATGCGAGGAAGATAAGGAAAGAAAGAGCGAGAGAGCATGTGAGAGAGAAATGAAAAGAGACGAATAGAGGGAACTTATGCCAGATAGAGGACGAGGGAAGAGAAAGGCAAGAAGGGAGCGGATGAATACGAGAGGGAGAAAGAGAGAGAGAGAGAGAACGTGGAGAGCGAAGTGAGGTGAGGAAACGAGAGAGGATGGAACGATGTACCACCACGAAGTACGACGACGCGGCGGTAGGAACGCGGCTGACGCCGAGCAAAAACGATCGGCGCTGTCTGCCATGCTTTTTGCGGGCATCACAGTTTCCAACCTCTCTCCTCCTGGTCGTTTCTAGCTGCTGGTATCTCTCCCCGGTCTCTGCCCGCTCGCTTGCTTGCTCGTTCGCTCGCTCGCTCGCTCGCTCGCTCGCTCGACGCCGGCACCCAATTCTCAGTGCGCGGTTACGCCCGGCTTCCTGTCGCGCGCGCGGGATGATATCGCGCGACAGGTATACAGGGTGCCTTGGGATAATTGGGGTGAGTCGATTTGTAAAAGAATTGACGTTGTTTTTTTTTCTTTTCAGGAAGCGACGACACCGGCGATCACAGGAAACTGTGTAACGACGAAATTCGCGATCGATCGCGTATCCTTTGTCGCATTTTCGTCAATCGTTTAGCGAGCGAGCGAGCGGCAGCGATTGTCATCTTTACAGAAGATGCGCGTGTGTGTCCGCCACTCGCAATTTCACCGTTTACAATAATTTACTATTGGTCATCGATGTCGTTTGATAATATTATTTGAAGACTGTTGCAAACACAGAAAACGAAAGTCGGACCTTGTAGGATAAAAAATAATAACACTGACAATATCGACAAACCCATTTGTTAGCACCGTATCATTGACCGTGTGCGAGGTTTATGTCCAACGAACAAACTGATAAATTACGGGTGAATTAACTTTCGCAACACGTACCGTCGCGTCCGTTACAAGCGCGCTTCTTGCAACGCAACAATTTCCAATCGACTTCTTCTTCTGCGGCCGCGCGAGATTGCGCCAATCTTCCGGCGACGAAAGTGTCTCTCTTTCTTTCTTTCTTTCTTTCTCTCTCTCTCTATCTCTCTCGATATTGCGGATGAGGAGGAGAACACGAGAAGGAGAACTCGCGAACGTCTTTTTCGCGATGATTTAATTCCTCGTATATACGCTCGTTAGCAGGCGAGAGAAGAGATTCGCGAGATTCCGACGACAACGACGACGACGTTCCTCGAGAACGCGGCGAACGAAAGAGATTCCGCAGACGGAATATTAATGAGCGAGCAAGTGAAAAATTATACCCTTTGGCTTCATAATGAATCGTTGGCAAGTCGGAGATACTAAGCAGCGTTGAGTCATCGATACTTGAAAGAAAATAAAAAAAAAAAAAAAAATAACGAAAAAGGTAAGATCGAGAAAACCTCGGCTTTGATGAATGTTCGATTATTCGTACAAGACGAGTCAGAAACGATGATTGCGCAAACCCACAAGCGCAATTCGAATCTTGACGGATTTCGTAGTAACAAGCAACGCGCTTGATTTATACACCGAGCTGTCGATCGCCTCCGGTCTTCTCTCGTAGCTCGCGAGATTAACTGAAAGATTCTCGATATTTAAATTCGTTCGCGACGAAGAGAAGAAACGAGCGCAAATGTCATCAAAATAAAAATCGAGCAATTGTAAAAATGTCGTCTCGATGTTATTTTATTACGGAAGCGGAAAAACGAGTTTGCGTGCTCGAGCGGAGCATCGTCCTCCCTCGATTTGCAAAAATCATCGTTCGTCGGAGATCGATCGCGACGACGACGTTTTCGCGCGAAACTTTTTTTTCCTCTCCCCGGCAAATCCGCACATACGTGTGCGCGCGCGCACGAAAACTAATTACCCGACACGACAAGGGGCGATACATAGAGCATCGTGAATCGACAAGATTATAAATAAGGTGTGACTGCGCGCTTTTGCCGTCCAGAAGACAATTACACGGCGCGGCGAAGGAGCAGCGCGAAGCGACGACGCGGCGACGCTTCTTACACGCCGGGAGCCGCTATATCCAGAACCGGAACGAATTCGCCGGAATTGTACGAACGCGTTCCCGCAATATCGCACGCCGCCCCATCGTGCGATCGCCGAAACACTTGTCGCAATGTTAATAAAATCCCTCGCAAAACGACAACACTGTCGCCGAGGGAAGAAATTGTTCGGACAAATTTTGCGTTGTTTTTTTATTTTTTATTTTTTTTATATTGTGCTATCCGATAGCGCAAAGCGATTGTACCAATGCGATCGCAAAAATTGAAGTTTTCTCCAAGACGATAATGTATGTGTGTAAAAATTTCTTACTGTCGAGTTACGTCCATGAGAAACTTCCAAGTGCGCGGCCTGAACAAACTTCAAAGTATTTTATTGTCGTTTTTGCACACGCGGCGACGAGAGGTTTTTGACGTTTTTCGCCAAGTGTGGTTTTCGCGGCACCTTCACCTCAAGTAACTCGAACGCTCTCGAGGGGAGCAGTATTCCCCCCCTCCTTCTTTTCCCAAAGACTTCGCCGCGCGAAGATACAGCAAAATGCGAGAAGCGGATGCCACGCATTATAAGTGCATTAACGCGCGCTAACGTTTCTCGGTCATCATCTGCCACGCTCGCGATTTACGATCGGTCAGTGAAATTCTGACGAGAATTCGTTTCAGGGCCGTGGCCGCGAGAATTATCGCGAAAAACCGCTCCGCGCATACACACACATCGGACCCCTCGTCAGAGTAATTTCACTCGTTGTAACGAAAAAACAACCTCGTCGACCGCATATTATTGTTCCAATCTCGCTCTTTGTTCTTAACTTAGCGCGGTCTCAAACGCAATATTTGAGAAAAGAATTCTCTATCTTATATCAATCCGTTAGCACCTAACGACAATTTTAATTATTATTATAACAATTTTATTAAATACCAAATTTTTTTAAATTATTTTTTCATTAATTACTCGACGTAACGGGAGAATATTGACGTGTGTCTCAAATAAACGCGAATCTTCGGCGAGCGCAAAAGCGAGACAAGATTGTGCGAGGATGAATCTCTCGCAGAAGCGAAAGTGCGTGCGCGAAGCGCATTCTCTCGTTTCTATGAACGTAACAAGGAACGTCTTCTCGCTGAGCAACGAGGTGGGAAGGAGAAAAAAGATCGCGAACAGAACGGGTGTATAATCTCGGGGCATTTATCTTCTCGTTATCTGGGGCAACAAGACCGTCGCCGCGTTTTCCCGACACCGCGGGCCTAGCGCGGATGATTGCCGA